GGTAATGATTTATTTTTGTGCAGAAAGTCTGCATCTCGTTCATTCTGAATAGAACAGTGCATAGACTTAAAAAAAAAAACCCTTATCATCCACTGCAACAGTGAATGGAGTCCATGCACGGGGCAGCTACTGGGAAGGCTGGATTGCGTCACTATTTGTGCCCCAAGGCAGCTCATACCTCGAGTATAAATCAGGCTTTATGTTTAGGGCATGGTCAGCCAAGCATCAACAAACAGCAGTGTGAGAAAAAGATGAGTTTCAGGTGCAGTACCCTGTAACACCTGATCTTTATAATTAGGATGTTCAAAATTAATTGACAAGCTTATGAAGCAGGGGAGCAAGTCTTTCTGTAACTTTTGTAACCATACAAGTGAGTGGATCAAAAGGACAGCATGTCTTGGGTTGTATTATCAACAGGTCATATCCAAAACAGACAAAGATCTTGATAAATGACTAGAAACTACCTATGATCTTATCATAGATATGACTATAAGGGAAATGTGCCCTTTTAGAAGACTTTATGCAAGCTTTCAGAGATGTCACACCTATAGTTTTTGTATTTTGGTCCAAATGAGTTGATAAACTCATAGCAAGATCCAAGTAACTACAAACTAGAGATGAACTGATACATTGACTGGCTGATATTTTTGGCCAATATTAGTGTTCTTGTAACAGCATTTCCAGATAAGTGCAATAGTTCACCAGTTGAATAGTGCATTCAGCATGTGAAATGATCAATAATACAGTATTTGTCTCTTTGTTTCTCCTTATTTCTAAAATTACTTCTCCATATTAATGGTTTGAAAACAACTGCAGTAAATTAGACGATTACAAATTTGAAAAACATTTAACTAAATGTGCACCCCCAATGGTGCATATACGTCCACATAGGACGTATATGCTGTAAGACTGGTCTGAATAAAGACACAAATAGGGTACAATGAGTAAAATGCAAATGTGGTGCATAATTAAGAACTAGGAATTATCCTACAACTGCTGTTAGAATAAAGCCCTTGCAGATATAACTGATGCGTATAGATCAACTGACTGCATCACTAGTCTCTTGTACATTAGCACCACTCAAAGGTGTAAACACAATTGCCTCATACCCCTGTTCATACTTGCATCCTGACCATGCACACAAATATTGATCATCACTTCTCATATATTTCCATCCTATTGAGTGATTGTTTCCCAAAATAACATTTAGCGATTTAACCATAACACAATGTTCCAGTCATGTTGCAGCTTGCAGACATAAAAAAAACAGAGATAGTTGACATTTACGGGTTTTGTCATAGCAAAGTTTTATACAAATACCTGAATTACAATAACAAGAATTTGATGACATGAAGCCTCTGTTGACAAACACTGCTGGGGAAGGTATTGGAGAATGGTAGGCTTGGCTTTATTTACTTTGATCAGTTGGGAAAAAAATGTTTCAACACATTTTAGGGTGAGAAAGTCCACTTCTACTTAGACTTAGACAACTTTTATTGTCATTTTGTATACAAAGAGTATATACAAAACAAGATTTCGTTTAGTATGGCTTTAGTAAAAGAACATTTCCATTCCAAAAAGTGCAGCAGTGATCAATTGTAAACAGTGTGGGAGAAAAAAAAAACATGGTGCAAAATATGCATTGATGTGGAAGTTCAGAGCATTAACATATATGGTGCAAATATGCAGTATTTTGGTTTAGTGTTGTCAGTGTGATGCAGAGTCTGTGACATGATTTAGAGTTTTTTCAATGGTTCAGCAGTCTGATGGCGGTCAGGAAGAAACTGTTGCAGAATTTGCTGGACCTGCATCAAATGCTGCGACGGCTCTTCCCAGTGAGCAGCAGAGAGAACAGTCCATGGTGGGGGTTTTAGGGGTCATTAATGATGTTGGCTCGGGACACGTAGCGCTGGGTTGAAATATCTTTTATAGAGGGAAGAGGAGCACCGACTGTTACAACTGTTACTGTTGTCTGTGATGTGCATCCCCAGGAATTTGGTGCTGCTGACCACCTCTACAGCTGAGTTGTTGATGAGCAGTGGAGCGTGGTTAGGCTGGTTCTTCCTGAAGTCGATGATATTCTCCTTCATCTTCTCCACGTTCAGGATCAAGCTGTTATCTTTGCACCAGCCAACAAGCTGCTCCACCTCCTCACTGTAGTTCTTGTCATTGTTGTCTTTGATGAGGACCACCACCGTGGTGTTGTCTGCATACTTCACAATACGACTGGTGGTGAACCTGGGGAGGCAGTCGTGTTATCAGAGTGAACAGCTGGGGGCTCAGGACACAGCCCTGAGGGGAACCTGTGCTGTCACCTGTGATGACATCAGAGATGTTCTGTCCGACCCAGACTGACTGAAAATTGTTTGTGAGGAAGTCTAGCAGCCAATTGCAGAGGGGAGTGTTGAATCCCAGCTGTTCCAGTTTGCCTATCAGATGCTTTGGGATGATGGTGTTTAAAGCTGAACTGAAGTCTAGGAACAGCATCCACATGAGGGTGTTCTTCTCTAATGGGTGTGCTAAGTTCAAGTGAAGAGCAGAGGAGATGGCGTCTACCTCTAAAAGTAATCTGTGCAGTCAGTTCATTGGGATTATGATCCTACTAAACAATTCTATATATAGAGTAGGGTGCTCTGACACTTGTATGCCCAGATGTTCGGATGTGCAGCAGGACCCTATGACGCTGCTTGACACTCTCCCAAATAGACTTTTCATGTAAATCAGGTGCTTTGATGCCCAGAACACGTTCGTGTGAAAGCACCTTTAGACCCTTGTCTTTCACGATCTGTACATAACTCAGAACATCCCATGATACGCTTGTTTATCAATTTGTGTTGGGCTGTAACTTAGAAGATGCATATTATGTGTTCTGAGCTCGATGGAAACATTAGAAAAACACTCTGAGAGCGCAGACCTCTGTTAAGCTTCAAATTTTGCCCATATTGTGACTTATGCCTATACCAAAAACTCACGCATGATCTGGATCTTTACCACATCTTAATGAATTGCTCTTTCACATGAGGCACACCTCTGGTAAAAATTTCCCTATAATCCTTTCATAAGTTTATAAGTAATGGCCATTGTATGTCTGCAGCCTCTGGTGTCTGTTCTGCTCATACCTTCTTCATTCGCTCTGCAATGTAATCTTTTTTTTTTATCAGCAGATCAAGACTTTGAGCAAGTCATGATTGGTTTCTTCTGCCAAAAATTGTGAGAGAATCCTAAAATCCAAAAATGTCTGTATCCTGATTAGGATCTGCATCATCACAAAATTTTTTGGATTGCTTCTTTTCATGAGGCTGGAAAAAGATGTACTAAATACACATATTGTTATCACAACCATTGAGAAAGCCCTCAGTTCACATTTTGCGGAAATGTTTCAGATGCAAATCTATTACAATCACTAAAATGAAATATTTTAAAGGTGTTCAATGCTCCCGATATGTCAGTCACTGATGCTTTGAGCCAGGAATTAACTTGGAGCAAAAAGCAATATTTGGTTACTTTAAATGCCTTGGCCTTTAGGGTGATCAGTTTGTTGACTCTTTATTTCCCTTTTTTCTGCTATCTTAATTAAATCGCAAATGTTACTAGTATTACGCCTCTTATTTTTTTATTGGCTTGTTAATTACCTCATTAGGATTTAATTTAGGAGTGGCGCAGTTTGTTGCACTCTTGCTTTTCAGCAAGAAGGATCCGTGTTTGATTCCCGGCCCAGGGTCTTTCTGCATGAAGTTTGCATGTTTTCCCTAACATTACAGTTAGGTTAACTGGCATCTCTAAATTGTCCTTAGGTGTGAGTGTGTATGCTTGGTTGTGTCTTCGTGTGACTCTGTGTTGCCCTGTGACGGACTGGCAACCTGTCCAGGGTGTACCCCACCTCTAACCCATAGACTGCCAGAGATAGGCACTGGCTTGACCAAGACCCGGATGGAATAACTGGGAGAAGATGGATGGATAGATTTAACAAAAATGCAAACAATATATTTTTAATCTGAAATATTTTTATGTCTTTTTTTCTTTGCAAATAAATGTGAGCTGTCAGTTGGCTACCCCAGACACACTGACCAATGGACCTTGTAAGTTTTCTGGTGGAAACCCTACAGGGTATAGCTAATATAAATGCCAGTGTGTACAAGTTATTGTTTTTATTATTGGTACGCATTTAATAAGTGAGGCAAAAATTGTCCTTCATGTTCAGACAGAGTCAATTCTTACAGTTGGGAAGAACATGTTTTATTTCTTTGTTCACCTTGAATCACTGTCATTATGGTTTTGCACAACTGACAGAGTCCTCTTATGTGGTTTGGGAGTGAGTCAATTCTGCAGAAGTAAGGTGTGGTTTAAACTGTTGGCATTGTTTTCTCATAAGGAAACCAAACACGGATACTATCTGATCAAATTAATGAGAAAACAAACTTACCATCAGGAGGTAGTAAGTTAAGTTTAGTTTCCACACTCTGATATTGCACCATTGTTAACATCAGCACAAAGAGAAAAAAGTCTTAGACATGATCATTTGGCATACTTAATGTCCTGTTTGGTCAAATGCTTTTGTGTATCTGCCAGCCCTGCCCTGAGGTTCATGTCTACAGAAGGGAGACGAAGCTGCTTACCTCTCTGCACAGAACCATGGGGCAAGCTGTGCCAAAACAAACTTACTGAAACGCAGCTACAGGGCCGACAGGATTTTAGGCAGAGGCAGACTCATTTTTGATGTCAGAGATTAGGGCGTGGCATTAGGTAGGCCTTCAGTGGCTAGACTGATAGAGCTCAGTTTGTCTGACTTCTCATGGGAGTACACAGCTGAATGGAAATTATGTGAGCAGGAACCAGCGTGAGTAGAGAGGTAAGTGCGGTAAATGAAACGCTGGCAGGTTCACTGGAAAAGCAGGTCTGTCACCTGCTCTCAAGCATTTCTGCTCCTGCCTGCTGTATATCTCTTCTGTTTTCTCTTGTGAAAGTATGGATAAATGTTTTTTGGCATCGTTTTCCTGCATTCAGGGAGGTTTGAATGCATGTGTTGTGACTTGAAGCTGAGGGTGTGTTGGGCCTGCTGCTCTGTGGCATGTTTAAGCCTGTACATTTGATTGTATGGCTATGCTACAGCTGCTGAAGTTGTTTTGGTCGGTCGAGCATTGAGCTGTATAGGGGCTGTAGTTTCTTAAAATAATCAGGGTGTTGCCTGAAAGTGTGACTGAAGAGGAAAGACTTCAAAGAAAAAGCAAAAAAAAGAGGAAACTTTGTAATGTAATGCACCATTCCCCGTGGGACCATATCACTACTCAGCAGCTAACTTACTGCAGAAGGCGTTTTTGTTGTTCATTCATTTTCTTTGCTACAACTAAGAGGTAAAGTATTATCCTGGTAAAATTTTTTTCTCATAACCTCAGTTTCTACCAGACTATTGATTGTGCTAGTTTTCTTTTTCCTTTTTTTATGGAAAAAGGTCAGAAAAATATGTTTGGTTGAAGTAATGACAACACACTGCAGGTATGAAGGGAATCTGTTTTTTCACCTGGTAGACTTTGTGATTTTTGTTAAAGTTTTCCTCCTTTAAATTCTTTTGCATCTATTCTACATGTAACCTACATCATTCCCCTCTTTCCATTTAATGAAGTTTGTGCTTTTGGTATATTAACATAATAATTTCATTTTTCAATCATAATCTTGTCATGGTAATTTTACTTACAGCAAATATTTTCAATATATATTTTGCATTTTTTTTAGGTCTCAGCTCATATGTCTGCAGCATTTCAAAATGCTTGAATTATTAATGCAACACCTTAATGTTATTTTTTTAGTTAGTTTTAGTAACAGAAGATCTTCGTGATGTGTCTTAGAGCAGAGCAAACCTTTCCCTTAATTTTTAAACATATGTTTTCCCCTTTGGCTTAGTTGACCAATGGTGTATGAAGAGGGATTGTTGGATTGCCATTTTGAACAAAATTTTAGAAATAAAACACAGCAAGGTAATTCCGTTTTTCTATTTTATTTATCTATTTATTTAACAAAAAACGATTTCAGCTAATTAAATGGAGAGCTGCCAGAAGTTATTGTTTATGATTAAGGTATCTGGGTAGTCACATTTATAAAAAATAAAATAAAATATGTTGTGTATTAGTCTTTCCAGTTGTCTCATCAGGATTTTTGTGATCAATGAAAAAGCAGATATTGAAAGGGGTTTTATATAGTTTCTTGGGTTGAAGTCTCAGTAAATGTTCCACTTGCGTGAAAACAAAGTTTTCATGGGCAAAGAAGGTTTCATATTTGTATGCTATGAAAAAGTGTGAGAAATTACATGCTGTAGGTGTTCCCGTTATTTACTGTTGGGTCGAGATCGTGTCTCTCTTTGGCTTTGAATGGTCCAGTTTGTGAGCATTGTACAGTAGCTCCCAGGTAGAGCTTGTTAATGAGGCATCAGCACAGTCAAGCTGAAGCTTGTCTTCTCCCATTCAGCAACACATCAGCACAGGCATGGATGGAAAACACAGGCTGCACTCTGTCACCTGCCTGAGGTGTCTTCGTTTTAAAAACACTTCCGTGATGACAGAGCTATTTAAACTGGGATGAACCGGATATGCGACAGCTGTGTATTATTCCATAACTAATTCAATGAATGCTTCCACAAGACGCAATTGTATGGAAATCCAGACAGCTCTGAGGCTAACAAAAACACATTTTAAAGCAGTCATGTAGAAAACCAACATGTATTAAAATAGTGAATTAAAAGTGACACAAAGTCAGTGTAAAAATATTTTTTTATTTTTCAAAGTAAGAGAGCATTCAAAGTAGTAGTTTGAGTTACATACATTTTATCTGATTTATGTATTATTCAATTAAGCCACAACTGAAAAACACTGATCACAAAAGAACCATTAGAATTTGGAGTAAAAACCATAATTCTCTGTACAGTTTCTACATAAAGTGCGCAGAACAGTTATCAGGTTTTTAGTAGAATGTGATATCAAATGCTAAAACCAACTCAGCTGGAATACTTGTATGGATCACTCACCTCATTCTTTTTATATTTTGTTGGTAAGACATGATTCCCTCAAATTCAAAAGTATGTGAGCTCATTTTCTGGATCAGTACCAGTTGTCTTACGCATTCTTTCTCTCTTTCCTGTTCATGCTGTCTGTATCTGAATGATATCAGACCACAGCCTAGGTTCATATTCCAAAACAGTTTGTCTATTTATTGATCTACATCAATAAATTGTCTATGTTTTTCCCTTTATCAGATCTATCATTAAAACTGTTAAACATAAAAAAAAACAAAAACAAAAAAAAACTGTTAAACATTTCTTTTATGATTTTCCAACTGTATATATGGGAAAATGGAATATTTAAAGGAAAAGTCCAGTCAGCAAGGAATAACCAATGGGTCATTATTTATAATTGAAACTAATATGTTTACGACGATTTAATGAATTTAGCGTTAATCAGGAAAAAAATAAAAATAATGTTTTGTGGCGATCACGAAGTCCGGTACCGGCCATATTTTCCCGAATATAGTAACACCTCACCCTTGACATCTTCTGGCAGTGACGTCACAGTGTGGTAAGCCTAGCGCCGTTCTTCCAGCTTCACAAGAAAACTCAATGATAACTACTAGACACATCTACAATCAACAACATTTATTTAAGGTTTCGAGAGGACTTCACCATTGAAACCCATGAGAGCTATAGTTAATCTGACAACGCCCTCGTGCATGGCAGTTGGATGTTGTAAAACCTAGATTAAAGATGAAAAAAATTGGTTATTTTACCTTTCCAATTTATGACTCACCACGGGTTCGTTGTTGGATTGCCAACTTGAAGAGGAAGGATTTGCCATCGAACTTCTGACCAGAGAAAAACACGTCATTAATCTGTTACTCTCTGCTTCGCATAGTGCACTGGTCATCACCATCATGGATAATGGCACGTTGTGACAAACACCAGATACAGCACTGAGACTTGCTCAACAGCCGATACTGCATCGTGATGTCACAAACCGAAATGTGGCACTAGTGCTGTTTGACAACATGGATGTCTCTGGTAAAGCACGTTCAAATAAAAATTACTCTTAATTAAAAACACTTATTTATTAAACAGTATGTAAGAATTTCAGTCTTAAAGTACTTTCAGGATTTTTGTATTCTAAATGTGACTGGACTTTTCCTTTAATAAACTAACAATATGGAAATATTTAATTTGTTATTATCCACTCAATTTGTTTGCCATAATGTTGTCTTGATCCCCGTGATGTCATATCTCAGTCCATGTAGTTATTCTCAACATAGTGACAGTAATGTATACATTTATAGCTTCATATATGATCCTAAATATCCAATGATTCTTGAACCAGTAAAGACATCAGTAGGATCAAATTAAATCACACAACTATAAAATGCAGTAAGGGTGTGAAAAGGACCCCTGGATGGAAATTTATTGAGGCCTTGTTTATAATTATTTTTTTTCTTTTGAATGTTTGCTTGATGCCAAAAAACTTCACTTTTTTTAATTCTAATTGGCTTTGTTGAAAAACATGTTTTTATCATTTGATCGTTAATATGAATGAAAGGTAAAATCAATTTGGAGTCAAAGCTGTTTAAAACCAAGTTTTAGATTTTCAATTAGATTTTTGTCATCCAGGTGAAATCAATTGCTATGGATTTAAAAAAAAAAATGTTTGTGTGTGTGTGGAAAATACAACTTTTTAAATATTTCTAAATTAATAGCACTGTCATGCAGTTTAATTCTGTTCTTTTGAGTTTTTCAGATTTGCTATATTAAAATTCGTCATTCTAAATAAAAAAAGGACTTTGCACACAGACTGCTGAATTATCAGAATAACTAAAAAAAAAAAAAGCCCCTACATTATCTGAGTAAGGAAAGTTCACTTTTTGCTGGTGCTTCATGTGCTCACTTCTGTTTAGTTTAACATTTGTATTCACTCTTCTACCTACAGAGGTAAATAGTCTGCAATTAATAGTTACTGCTGCATATGATGGTTTGATGTTTTGCAGCTAATTCATTTCTGTTTATTCATAAAGTGCCAATTCTCAACATTTTATTGCAATTTACAGAGAAAGTTAAATCAAATCACACAAGCTAAATGTTTTGTATCTAAGGAAATTCAACTGATTGCAATGAGTCATGTCTTTGCAGCATGCACTCTTCCAGAATGAGCATGAGTGTCACAGCTTCATATGATCCTACTATTTGTTGGATTGAACAATTAACGGGTCTGTTCAGGCTTTTGGTTTGACATTCTACCAAGGTAGAAAATGTGTTCAAGAAGACAGTAGCTGATGCACAAAATAAACATATAAGCACAGATCCATTAATATTGCCTCTGTCAAAGAAGGTAATGGTAGACGACTTGTTCCATCGCTTGATATTTCTGGTAAAGAAACGGTAAAGCAGTTTAGCTGAGCTGTTTTTTTTTTTTCAGATCAAAGGGATAAAGCTGAGGCCATAACTATGTCCAGGAGATATTGAGGAATAAACACTGAAAAAATGCCCAACTCTATTATCTCTGAGGTTGCTGAAGGCAGCAGTTTACCTGAAGCCTCCTTCTGGTATGGTGTCACAGCTCAGCAGAGTAAAAGGATACAGATGTAGCAATTTAGCCTGGCCAGCCAGACTGAGGTGGCATGCACTTGTCTCAGTCTGGCAGAGCTTGATTTCAAAAGCGGGACTAACAGGGTCAGCCTCATCAGGTTAGAACTGTTCCATTAACTACGGATGTGATGCGAAAACTAAATATAACCAAAAATAACCATTAATCAATCGATGATGTGTGTTAGAATGTACTATTCTTATTAGTTGTTTTTATCAGTTATTATTTATTTCTTATATTATGTGTAAATGGTGGTGACAGTGATTTTTGTTTTTGTTTTTTAAGCATATGCACTGATAGATCGATGGCACTTTTTAAAATTTCGTTGTTCTTGTGACAATGACAATAAAGATAAATTGAACTCCAAGTGGTGCGCTGTTTTTATGATTTTGTAGCCCGTTAAAAATGTCAGAAAATTCTCACATGAACAATTTCTGCCAGTTTTTCCTATCAAAATACCTGCAGATATAAGGTGTGCTCTTAATCACATGCTTAATTTTCATTGCGACTTTGCTACATTGTGGTCTCCAGCTTGTTATGCTAGCAGAAAAGCTCCACTGCATTATGGGTAATTTTTTGCTGAGAGTCTGGCATCGCAAAGTCCAACCTACCACGCTGATTGGTCAGGCCAGATCCGACTGGAATCAATGGCGGTTTACCAGACTTAATTATGCTCCATTAATTTAGACTGGTGGGCCAGGCTAGTAGATATTATGATGGGAAAAAGCAGAAAGGACAAACTTCATTATATTTGAATTTATAAATGGTGATTAACATGGTCACAAAATCCTTCCATATTCATGATCCATGCTGCTACATTTCTGCACTACATTTGTCTTTTTTCTCAATCCTATAATAAAGAAACTATGAAATTGAAACTACTTTTGATCCAGGTATTTAGGATTGAGCTTGACAATATAGGGCTTTGTACATATTCCAAAGTTAGCTTTATTATGGGATTTAAATGACAAGACTCAAAAAATAACATCACTTATTTTTTTTGTTACCCAGAGGCAGTTTAATGCCAACTACATGAAGTGAATATGCAGCTTCTTTTTCACCGAATCTGGTCCGAAAACAATATTTTTTGGAAGTTTGAGCCTTTCTAAGAGAATGTTGTGTTCATATCAAGCGCAGAACTGCCAGATGTCCGCTTTCTTGATCCTTAGTGCGAAGATGATCTCTAAAACCTGACAAACTCTTCAAACAGGTCATTATGGCCTTAAGTAGTTACAAACTTGATCAGCAACATTTTTTTTTCTAAGAATTTTAAAAAGAAAGCTAAAAGGTTTCAGCTCAGCAAACCTAGGATAAAGTAATGAATATTTAGATGAAATTATCTTCCAAAACAGGAAGTCTGAGCCAAAAGTCACTTGGAAAAAATATCTGACACTAGTAGGAACTGTAGGGTCGAAGGGTTTGTCTTACTTTATTGACTGACTCTTTAAAAGCACTCTTGATAAGCACTCTTTATAAGGTAGCACCTTAAAGTCTTAAATAAATGGCTGTGGAGTAAATGTCTTATAGAATTGTAAATTTAAGTTAGGCTATGACCTTCACAAAAAGGTGAAAATTCCTTATTTCTTCTAATGAAAACAACTAAGTAAAAAAAAAGAAAAAAAAAAACTAAGAGTATTTCATTTTCACAGTTTGCCTTTAAATCAGTTGAATTTTAGTTCAAACTAAGATATTTATGTTTATTTTTTTTAAATTATATTTAAGGTCATTTGCAGTGAGCATTGCATGGAGAATATTGGTGAGGATACTTAAAGTAAAAAACTACTGTAATGGCTTTCATAATTACCGTTTTAAGGTCTAATGCTGCTATCAGGCACTGAAAAACTTTTAGGGCACCTTTCATTAACTATCCTTACTGATTAAGATTTCTGGCATATAGATGTATTTTGATGTGATTGGACTAAGGAGAGCTAGGATCACTTTAAACCTAACTACTGTTCTGGTGCACAAGTGTTTTAATTTACCCAAACAACCATAAAAGTTGTTAAAGCATATATTTTCTAAGGCTAGAAGTATTGCATATCTCATTTGAGTATTTGAATCAGGAAAGAATGTGGTTAAACATTTCCTGAACAGTTTTGATTGATGTTGCAGTAACAATGAATTCCTTGTAAACTGTTGCCTTAACTGACATTTCAAATAAAATTTTTATTTTAACTGTGAACTTGATTTTGCATTACTGATACAATTCCTTTAATGTGACAATTAAGCTATTTCCTTTTTTTCTTAAACTGTAAGCAGCCTTATATTCTTTTCTAAAAAGAATTTTATGAATAAGGTGGTTTTTGTCTTATGAAGGTGTTAGATTACCCATAGTTTTATTGTATGTGTGTATATATATATATATATATATATATATATATATATATATATATATATATATATATGCATGTATGCATGCATGCACCATCCCTGTCGTTTGGAGTGTTAAAGGCATCCTCCCCCACAGCGATACTAATGTCCGGTTAAGCCTGTGACCTTGCATTGCATGGATTCCTCTATTTGAATGAAACATTCACCTGTGTGAGACTTTAAAAACTGTTGCTTGCACATAAAAAGAACCTTTTTTGTGGATGTACTGTAGATTGGTTTTTTGGTGCTGATATAAATTGCTTTTTGTCCTAGATTTACTAACAAGGCTTTTTTTTTTTTTTTTTTTTTTAAAGCAGTGGCTATCAGACAAGTGGAATGGCCTACATTTAAATTGAAGTACCATGCTGGTCTTGTTTGCAGGACTGCAAAGTTTTGACAAATGCTTGACAATCTAGTATCTTACTTTATAAAAAACAGTGCACATTATTAAAATGTGTTAAAATGGTCTTAATCCTCTGGTTTTTTTAAAGTCAGTATCTCTCACATGTCTTTTTTTTTCTCAGCCTTCAGGCTCAATGAGCAAATCTGTCCTCTTAGTTGTCTTGTGACTTTGTGTACAAAGTGGCCTTTTAAATGTTACAGCAGCAGTGCGCTGTAAAACTTAGAAGAAATGAAAGCAATTTTTTGGACTTTTATTTCTTGATGCAACAGTCATAATCTTAAAGAGAAAAATTAAATTTCTTTATACAGTGATAGTAGGTATTTGAAGTAGTAGAATTTTTCTTTTCTTGTTTTTCTTTTTCAAAAAATGCAAATCTGAGAATTTCTACTTATCTACCTGCAGGGTGTCGACCAAAACCAAAGCCCCATCCCCGCCAGGACTGAAGACGGTGGATTGTCCAGGCTTCTCTCAGTGGCGCCCGGGAAACCCTCATTTAACCATGGACCAGAAAGAGAACATGATGGATAAAGAGCTATCTCTAACTGTAGTTTTGCCCGATGGTTTGGAAAAGAAGACCCAAGTCGAAGGAAGGTATGAATGAATGTTACCTTTTCTGTAAAAAGTCAAAAAAACAAAAAAAACAAAAACAAAACAAAACAATGGTGAGTGGATTTTCTTTTCACACACTGAACAGCCATCATTTAAGTCCAACATCATGAGACTGATGACGGATTAAGTCATCACATGACGTTCTGCTTCTACCAGACTGAGTCAGATGGGTGGAGTCCCTGAATGTTGTGGTTCCAGTTAATATGTACACTCAGCCAACTTTAATTGCATTCTTTTTAGTTTTTCTCTCTCACAAACTCTAGTAAACATTTTTTTTCAAACATTTTTTTTTATGTTTCGTTAGGCAGCAGTGCAATAAAGATTCATAAAAAGGATTAAGTACTGTACAACCCTAATCGGATCAGCATGTGTGCATACCTCCGTGTCGGTTTCAGAGCAAGGTCTGTGCATAGTCCTTTATCTCAGCTCATCAAGAGAGTTTACTTAAGATATCATCATCTCATTCTCGAAAGAGACACATTCTATAAACACCACTAAAAGGGATTCTCTGCACCTTGGACTTGTGAGAATGAACTGATATTGTTCTCTTTTTGATCAGAGCAAATTTAAGATTGAATGTTTCTAACTTCATCCTTTAAAATGTATTCAGAGCTTTAAATAAAAATGTTACCAGCATTTACATTGTGAAATTAGGAATAAAACTAAAAATGTCTGAACTTTTGTTCCCCAAAACTCCTGCAGGCTTTGAATTAAACCTTTCAGTCGCTATGTGCAGCTATCAGCAAGACAAATAAAATAAACTGCTTAATGTTGCTCCTTTAATTTGACTTTTATTCTGACATCTTAGGACTTAGAACTTCATGTCTGAATTTTTAAAAACCAAAACTAAGCACAAATTAACTCCAGCTGTAATAACATTTTTATTTTTTTCAGTCGGTTTAAGAGATGAGACAAATGTTAACACTTCCTCATTTTCAAGGTGTGCAAATAAGAGTGCATGTTTTTGTCAGTTTTTCATAAATGTTTGCATTGTGCATCACTGTTTTACACTGTTACAGTGTAAAATATCCAGTCCTGGTTTGATGAGGGTTTTTGTTTTGTTTTTTTTTTGTTTTTTTTAATGCTTGCTGCATTTAAATGTATATTTAATATCAAAAAAATCAATCAATACATAAATAATTTTGTCTTTAAAAAGAGCTGAATAGAGTTTAAATAAATCTCAAGGAACATTTTACAAAGTCTCTGCTTGGTGTGAAATTACCTAGTTGACATTTGACCTGAATTTAGATTGTGGAGTAGTATTTGATGGGATTCAAAAGGAATTTGAGACTTTGCTGCCACTAAATAATAATTTAAGCATTTCTTTCATGTTTTGTTGCTTTTAGTGTTTTAAATATATAAAGAGACTCACAGTTGCCTTTTATGTCTCTGCTTCCTTCTGTATATCTGCTTCTGTCTCCTTGGCAGAAGGCCGCTCACACTGAGCCTGGTTCTGCTGGAGGTTTCTTCCTGTTAAAATTAAGTTTTTTTCTCCCTACTGTCGCTACAAGCGGGTGTGAGGGATTGCCTTCAAGTCAATGAGTCAATGCAATCAGCTAGCTTTCCTTAAGCCGCGCAAGTACTGTACAATTTATTTATTTTTAGCCCTTCTCCAGTCGTGCAAGAACTTTTTTGATCGGGCCTAGTTTCTGCCTCATCTCGTGTTGTGTACTCTACAGGGGCTAACGAGGGGCGATTCACCTCTCACGACCACCTCCCAATCAGGAATCGTAAAGTCAGGAGAAAATCAAACATGTTTAAAATCAGTTGCCCATCGCACGATTGCAACATAGTGTTGGGCCACACAGTGTGAGAACATGCATTGTGATCTGTGAACTTTTAACAGTTTGAGTTGTAGCTCTGTGCAACGATTGAAAATATTGCACAGTGTATGCCCGGCTTTAGAAAAAACTTTGAATCAGTTTGAATGTATGACCTGGCTGAATTGTCTCTGTAAAGTGCCTTCAGATGACATGTGTTGTGAATTGCTGTTATATAAATAAACAAAATTGAGTTGAATTGAATTAAAATGTTTGTGTCACAGGATTAACTCGTTCTGAAAGCGAATTAAATCTGAATTGTTTAGGCAGAAATTTTTGGTTTGTTTTGGGGTTTTTTGGCTCGCTTCGGGTGTAGTTAGGAGAATTGGTGACTAAACATCAACAGTATTTTGAAAAGGATTTTGAAACCTCATCTCAATAACTGACTAAAAACCTTTATTATCACACAGCAGGAAAAAAAAGTGCTGCAACTGAAAAGGATGAATTAATAAATGTACAAAATGGAAGTGCTTTACATGAAAAGTGGCAATAGCCAAATATTGAAAAATGGTTTAATTAACAGCACACCTGTTCACAGGGTATAGAGTGTTGGGAGTAGTGACCGGTATAAACTAACAGTTGCTAGGAGGAAGGATCTGTAACAACAAACCTTGTAGCTCGTAGGGTAAAGCAGTGTTTCAATGAAGAAGCCCTTCAGCTTTGGAACAGTTTCATGCACAGGGTGAGGGACACTGTCCAACAGCTATAGTTTTTTTACTAGAATTCCTCTGTCTCCCAACTTCTGTCTCCCAGCTGGCCCTCCTGAGCTCATCTAACCTCTCATCTGTATAGCGTCATAGATGTTTTTTGTTGCTATAATGAAAAAATGTAAACGCACACACTCTTAAGTTCTTCTCTTTATAACATTTTTTTTTTCCGCTTTCCTGTTTTCTTTTGTCTTCCAGCAAAGCCCTGATGGATCTGTTGGTAACCCTTTGCGCAACCTATCACCTGAATCCATCGAGCCACACTTTAGAATTGGTCACTGCCAACAGAAACAGTGTTAAGCTTAAACCCAATGCTCGTATAGGAAGTTTGGGTGCAGAAAAGATCATACTGAAACCAAAGGGAGATGATAAAAATAAAAAGGCTGGTCCACCGATGCCAGAGGTAAGTCATCAAACATAATAACAGATATGCAACATTCAGAATTCCTTTTTGGTTGAGCTTGGAGTTGCTGATTGCCACCATTAGTTGATACAGATTTCATGCAGTGTAAAAAAAAAAAAAAAAAAAAGGCATTAGAATTGTTGATTGTTGGAGACACCATGCAAAACAGGGTTGAGCTGAAACATTGAAACAATTTTTGCCTTGTCTTTTTAGTATATTAGTTAGGCAAAAAGCTTAAATAGTGTGGTTAGCATTACCAACTGTAATAATTTTATTCCAACATTTCTTAAATCCGAATGTTTTTGACATAGACTGAAGCAGCTTTGAATAGGATCCGATGGAGCACCTTTGCTGGATTCCAATCTTCCTGTGCTCTGCTGAAACACTCAGTCTTTGCAGCTTGCATTGATCAGCGACAAGTCTGGACATGTTGTATGGAATACAGTTTCCTTTTTACAATCCCACATTCTCTCTCACTTGATTTCTAAACAGCCCAACAATACTCGTAACTTGAAATATTGTCGGTTAAATCCGTAAATGGGTAGATATCTTGGATTTACTGATCAGAAAAGGATTTGATCTTTTAGTTTCTGACGCTCCTGTCACTGGCCAGAGAAAACGGCGTAAAAGTTGGGTTCACTACAGTAGGGGTAACTTTTTGTGGTCCAAGTACGAATAAATAAAGAGACTGACTCACTATGTTCCAGGCAACTGTTCGGATGGTGATAAACTTCAAAAAGAGCCAGAAGACTGTATTACGAGTGAATCCTCGAGTTCCTCTCCGTGACCTGTTACCAGCAATATGTGAGAAATGTGAATTCACCACAGAAACTACAATTCTGCTGAGAGATGTTACATCATCCACCCCTTTAGACTTGTCTGGGTCTCTAAATGATCACGAAATAAGGGAAGTTTACGCAAAAGACACAAAAGGTACGTTTCAATATATTGAAATCATGCTGTTAATTGGACATTTAAGCCAGACTCGCACTCACAACGGTGTCGCTGCAATGCAGGCATTATAATGACTCAAAATAATTAATGTCAATTAGACACTAACATCAGCCACAGGCAGTGTGGGTTCTTTACCAAGGCAAGGCAGCTAATTGGAGCGATTCTGCAAGAGGGTTTTGCTGGACATTGCTGCAGCCTCCCAATCAAGCTCCTGAATTTCACAACCAAACAGGAAAATTTGGGCATCCGACAGGAAAGGGTTTCAATGAGTTTCAGAAAATAAGCAACACACCAACTTACTCTTACTTGAATAGTGAAAACAAAATGGCACAATGAACAGCGGGCGATTTGCAGGATGAAAGAGGATATTTATGTGCACAGATAATGAGTTTTAACCTGTAAATGCTAGAAAGAGCTTGAAGCTACATGAACTTCTTTTCTTGGAAGCATCTTTTCTGCAGGCTGGATACAAAGTTGGTTCGCACTAGGAGCAGTGTTCAGTGACTTTTTGATGCATGCCTGCACTCCTGCTACAGCACATTCAGTTTGATTTGGTTTTATAATGTGTAGCTCCTTTTATTTGCTCTTACTTTGTCATCATACTCTACAGAACCAGCTTGCCTTTTCTTAATTTTCTTTCATCCTTTAGTTTAAATGGCTGTCTGTTATGAGCTAAATCTTTAAATCTCTCTGCAGGACAACTTGCTTCACCTATATCTTCAAGCTCACCAGTCTCTGCTGGTATGTTTTAATAGCATTTTTTTTATGACCCTAATAGATCAGTCTTATTGTTTTGAACTGTATTAAGTACTGTCTTGAGCACTAAAACAGTTTTGATGTTTTCATTTTGCAGGAGCAGTGATCTCAGGCGAAGAAAAAAATCAGAAGGAAAAGGAAAATAAAGGCCTCTTCAGCAAATTTAGAAAAAGTAGAAAGAAATCAGAGGTGATTATTGAACTGTAAACCAATTTTTATCTGCACTCTAAACTATACTGAGCCTTAGTACTCTTAAGATATGCATACCTTTAGCTTTCCTACAGTATATTTAGATGTGAAAGGGATTTGTCTTTAGTTTACCACTGGCCAATGTTCACTGTTTGGAAACAGGCCTCTTATCAAATTCTGATTGGATGTTTACTCTTTAAAGCCAACGACAGCCAGTGCCCCAGCTTCTCCTGTGCTTGTCAGCAAGCCCCGACCACTCAGCATGGCCTTACCCTGCTCAAATTCATCCCCAGTTGGGTCTCCTACATTCTCCAATGTGTCTAAGAAGCGACGTGCGCCTCAACCACCGGTCCTCATGTCTCAGAGCATTCAGTCAGACTTTACTGCTCGCCAGAGAATCAACTCTGAGTCCAACACCCAACTTGATGGGATTCAGGTAAGTGGGTTGTAAGCATGAGATTTACTGTAAGCTCTGATTTAAAAAAAAAAAAAAAAAAAAAAAAGTTTTTTTTTATCTCTGCATTTTGCAAATATGGATTGTTTTACATCTACCATACAGAGCAGTCCTGTAAGTCTTGGATCCTCAGCAGAATCGTCACTAAAGAGGACCAAACGCAAGGCTCCTCCACCTCCAACATCTCCGAGTCCTGTTGTCCAAAAAACTCAGTCAGAAGAGGAACATTTACAAGGTCTGAAATTAATTAGCTTTCAGTTTAAGTACAATGTGTTTTTGTTTATCTTGAGGGGGGTAATAAGGAATTTATAAGGTAACCTTTAAATAGTTTTGGTAGAACTTTTTAAGCACAGTCTAACTTTTAATATCTTTGACTCTTGCGCCTTCTAGTGTATTCTAATGTGTAGTGCACATTTTGTAGACCAAGGTACTGGGAACTAAACTGGGTGGTGGAGTTATTTCTCTTAATTAGATTAATCTTGCTGTATTAAATCTTAATTCATTAGAATCATGCACCAACAACCTGGTTTTAATATAGAAAAAAGGGGGCTGCTTTCCTGTTTTACTGCAGCATGTTTCCCCTTTTTAAATATCAAAGCTTCTTTTTGGGTTTTGTATTTTCCTAAAATCTGTAGGCAACACCGTCTTTGTTGGATCTTATTTTCTGATCTTTGTACTTGCTAAATTCTTTAGTATTTTATTTTTCTTTTGATTTGTTTAAATGTATCCAATTCTAAACCTACTTTCCTGTGATTATGTGTGCCCTATTGTCCTGTTAGAGGAAACGCCACCCGTCCTGTATACACACCAAAAGATGAAAGGATTTCTAAATAATTCATGCTGGTGGTATTTTACTCAGGAAGGGGCGGTTCTTTTTGTTTTCTTAAATATGAGAAGAATGTAATTCTATAAAAATGCACAGATGCAGTAATAATATCCTGATGTGCTTAGTTTATTTGTTTTTCTCTATAGATGAATAATTGTAAAACTTTTACATTTTATTTGGTTTTTGTGATGGACACAAGTACATTTTATTCTAAACAACCACTCCTGTTTTGGCATTTAGTAGTTCAGTTATACTGTATCACTTTTTGCTGTTTTACTTACTCCATCTGAAACCTGTAATGGTTTAAACTGAGGCTCACATGTTTAATCAGTTCTTTTCCTCATTATACTGAGGTTAAGTAAACCAAATAGCCTGTATCAATAGTTGTATCAGAAGTATGCATACACATTTCCTCTCTTAAACCTGAATATATTGCTGAATACTTTGACACTAACATTTTAGCTTTTTAAAAATCCTATCAAAGTTACAATACTTTTTTATATCCTGCATCTGACCATCAACTACTAAAAGCCAAACAACTTAATCCATAATGTTTTCTTAATGATAATCCCCCCCGCCCTGTTTCTTGTCTTGGTTTTCACGTTTGTTTCCCTCTTTCTCATACTCTGTACATCTGTAGGAAAATAACTGTTAAAACACAACACCAGATACTAATGATTTTATATATTAATGTTAGTATTTGTTTTTAAGATTATCAATAGATTCTATATCAATAGATACTGCGTATATCAATACCCTAATAGGCGACCTATGTTGGTACATTCAACTGCAAGCAAAATTATTTATAATTTCCCCCAATGGATGCAATAATTGATGAGTACTGACCTCAGTTTTGATTGCAGCATCTGTAAGTCAAAGTAAATCCCAATGTTATGGGAGGAACATAACTAAGTCATATTTAATTAGGGATTAATGCATTAGATATGTTCAAGGCCAAGGCTGCATAACGCATATCTACTACATATATCACTAAAATAGTCTCTCAGTACAATAAGCTTTCTTTATATAGGATTTCTTATCAAAGTGTTCCATAAGTTGCTTTACATTGACTCAAATCTTAGAACCATTATACGTATATAGAAGATATTAGCAAACTGTGTAAACATGTAAATTAAAAGGAAAAATGATGAGATGTAAATCATTTTTAAGTATAGCTCTGCCAGAAATGTTGGATGAGGGACTATTGCAATACCACTTATGAGTAGTAAGGGGATCCCAGAAATATGATTAATTTCTACAGTATAATATGATGAATTTAGTATATTCTTGTACTAAGCTGTATTATTATTATTAATGGTATTATTCAGTTGCAATAAAATTGTTTATTCTGAGAGGAAATTGGATTGCTTGATCTAAAAAGATAAAGCAAACTAGAATGTTAACTTTTGAAGAAGAATGGTCTTTCATTATTTTAATTTTATAAAAGGGAAAATTTATAATTTATATCAATTATTGCAGAAACTACAGTATTACTAGGATTTAGGGGCATAAGACCACAGCTCTTATAACTGCGGACTAGTATTTGCTTCAACTGGTTTCAACCTTTAGCTCTTCATAGATGAGATCAACTCCGAGACTGTGGCATGGAACTGAAAGGATTTTTACTTTTTTGTGGAACCATGATGGAATGAAGGAAAAATGGGAGTAAAAAAATATTTTTGCTGTTTTTTTTGTTTGTTTGTTTTTTTTACAGAAACTTCAGCTTCTACCAAACTACAGGAGATCATGGAGCAGGAGGAGGCTGCTGGGTCTGTAATTTCCTCAGCCTCTACTAATACTCAGGGGCAGAATAGCAGCCTTTCCGTGTCCCCAGAATCCTCAATCCACTCACCGTCTCCAGATGCTGTGAGTGGGAGTACATTGGAGGCTGGTGGGGAAGATCAGTGTCTTGATCTATCCTCAGATGGCAAGTACGAACTCTTCTGATGCTACATAAGGCAATGCTATTTTGTTTTTTTTTAAGGTTTACAGAAGTTTTAACTCCTCTTTTTTTTTTTTTTTTTTATCCAGAAGAGTGGACAGCTTTATAAATGATTGCACAGCAGAGGGTATTAAGAAAATTGATGGCTCAAACCCATTTGAACCCATTATCACTGGTAAGCACTTCCTCCATTTACAACAGGACCAGTCTTATAAAGAGATATTTAATGGCAACTCCTTAAGGTGTACTGAAGCTTTGAAATGAAATTCTGTCCTGTCAGAGCATCTTAACCTGTAAAAAAATCTCTTTGGAGTACTTTTATTTAGTAGGAGAAAATTGTTGAAATCTTTTCATAAGATAAATCTCCTGTGGCAAAGTTATATGTGCTCCAAACAAGCATTTCAATAAATGTAGCCAAATTTTAATCATTAAAGAGTTGCTAGAGACTTCTTTGGCAGTTTTAACACTTTCTGGTTATCGTGAGTATAAAATATAGCCCATGTTTTATGCCCACTGACAACTACCCTGATCTGGGGCTCATATGATGCCCACTGGGCATAGTAAACAGTATGGTATGTGAAGTGAAAAAACTCTCCAAAGCTCAGTTTGAAACACCTTTAGTAAAAAGTGTCTTCTTTGGTTCACCAGGAAAACAAGACAGCACCTATACACCAGTTTTTGTTAAGATTTATGCCAAAGCAGAGCCTTTTTTTGTTCTAATGTCACAAATGTGAATGAGTGGGGTTTACTTTGTATAAGTTAATCATATATCATATATTTCTGGAATTCTCTTACTAATCTACTGTAGTATTGCAATAGTCACTCATCCCCCATATCTGGCAGACCTATACTGTCCTACATCTTAACTTTCTGTTATTTTTTGTCCATTTCATATCATCTATTCTGATTTTCTTTACAGAAAGCACAGCCGTTCAGGCAGATGAGGTTTACCCACAGCCTGTTCCTGAAGAGACTAAAGTTAACAGTAGTGAAAGGGGCCCACTTCCGCCTGTGAAAAAGGATGCGGAAGTTCAGGCCTCCAGTGATGAACTTGCAGAACCCCCAAGAGAATTGCCAGATGGGTCGGCAAGTTCAGTGACCACCAATGAACCGTGTCCAGCAGGAGAAGAATCTCTACTGCAAACAGATTCTTTAGGACCCTCTGTCCCTGCACAGCAACATGTTGACAAAGTTTCCTTATCAGCAGATTTAGTCGCCTTAGGGTCTACAGAGAAAAAAGATATGGCCACTTCAACAGACGAGCTGCAACCCCCTAAGCCTGAACTTGCCTCAGTCAACACTTCATCACCCTCACCGAGCCAAGACTCAAAGCCAAGCACGGTGGCTCCAAAGAAAGCACCATCTATGCATGTAGCAGACCCTGAGTTAAAGCCAAAGCCTTCAAACGAACTCACGAGAGACTATATCCCTAAAGTCGGGATGACAACCTACACAATTGTGCCTCAAAAATCTCTTGAGAAACTCAGATACTTTGAAGTTGCACTGACACTGGAGGCGCCTCCAGAAGCACCGGGAGAGGAAGTTACCTCTGGTTCTCCTGGTTTGAAAGAGGACCAGGGACAGATGGAAGTCTTAAAAGAAAAAACTGAGCTAAATTGTAACCTACCCAGGGATGACTCACTGTCTAGTACAGTTAATACCAATACTACTACTCTTAGTACTACTACAATGCAACACACTGTAAATGGAGGCATACCTGAACCACCTCCTCTCCCACCACCTATGACTGCACAGAGCGCAGACAAGATCTCCTCCTCTGCTAATGATGTGCTCCAAGCAGGTTCACCAGCAGATGTTAAGGAGATAAAAATTCCACCCGCAACTAGACCTAAGCCTGCTTCTTTCCGCTTGGGACAGCACAAAAAAACACCTGGTTATTATGTAACTTCAGCTGCTGAGAAAAGTCTAAGTGCCAGTCCTGTCTCTGGCCCCAAGGAGACTCAAGGGTGTCCAGATAGAACAGCACTGCCTTCTCCTCCCCCTCCCCCTTTATCTCCGACACAGCTTCAAGAGGAGACGATAGAGGTCGCTGGTGTTCAACTAAGTCCCAAACAGGACAGCAAAAATGTGACCCCGATGCAAATCACAAGGCAAAGCAGTTTGCCATCCAGAGAGCCAGGTTCTAGGTTAAGCTTGGAAAAATTTAGGAGCTTTGCAGCTCCTAGACCTTTTTCCCCTTCACCATCCCGCTTTGCCCAGGCTGTGTCCTCAGCTGTGAAAAGAAGCCAATCTCTGTCCCACAGATCAAAATCGCCTCCCTCCTCAGTGCCATCGCCTGTTTCTCCAGTTACAAATCCCTCATCAGTCATCCAGTCAAAAGATTTATCTGAACTGAAGGTTGGTCCTGAAATGCCTTTAAAGCCCTTGAAATGTGCCTTTCAAATGTATTCACAGCACCTTCACTTTACATTTTGTCATCTAAACATTAATGATAATGGTTTATTAATTTGGTTTAATTTAATAAATCAACAGAATGTAGTGCATACTTGTAAAATGTAAAGAAATTAGTCTTAGAATGTTAATTAGAAATATGATATCTCAAAAAAAAAAAAAAAAAAAAAAGTGGTGAGCATTCGTATTTGGCTACATTTACCCTGAATCTAAGTTACACACTTTGCATTTACTGATTTGTGCCCTGGCTCTACAGGGCTTATTAAAAGTGCACTAAATCTCGTGGTTGTAATATAGCAATGCTATTTAATTTAAAGTGAGGTAAATACATGTGCAAGGTACTAGATTTACCAAGTTGAATTAAGTGATTATTGATCTACTGCACTAGTACAATTCTGATTGTTTTATTGTGCAAACTTAGCTTTAAAGAGCTCCATATTTTCTTTGTTAAATTCAATGTTTTCAAGATTTTTTATTTTGTATCCTATAGCTCTTTCATCTAGTAGAAATGTGATTTTATCTGACTCAGCCAGCCATTTAACATAACCTGCTTATTCTCTCCATCCAGCATGCTGAGGAGGATACTGAGAAGGCAAAAGAAACTGGACTGTAGTAGCAAAGTAATTCCTCTGACAGTTTATTCTTCCATGTAAGTATAATACAGTTCCAAATAATATCATATTTCTCACCAGAACACAAGCAATATCTTCTTGTTTTCTTTTAGAGGGAGCTCATCTTGCGGTCTTTTATTATTTTTTTTTCCTGGAGCCATCATCTCTGGTGTCAAAGAAGCTGTCCCCTGAGAAACCTTTCATGCTCTTTGCTGGGCTTCATAAAAAATTTGAGTTTTTTAAAGGATACTTTATCACATTCTTATACTTTTTGTTGGATTCTTTTATGTTACACATTTTATGCATTACTGCAAAGAACTGTGATCAGTGATGGTAAATAATAATCCTGTAAATTATTAGTGATTCCCAGAGCGGTAATATTATTGGATATATTAATTAAAAAAGTGGATTATCTAAATAGTACTGGATTGTAGGACAGATCAGGTCTGATTTTCAGTTGAATGTTTCCATATTTAAGTTTTAGAGTTTCCTTTAGAGTGGATGCAGAACAGCACTGATGTGTACACTTGTTCTTGTTTGGTGAGCGTTGCTATGATTAAAGCTTTTATCAAGCCACTTGTCTGTATTGTCATCTTTGCTTCCCTGCACAAGCTACTGAAATGAGATCCTGCAGAATAAAAGCACTCATTCACAACAGGTTAAACTGGATCCAGGTTTATGGGCCGAGAGCACGTTGCTTTAGAGTGAACCCAGCGTGTCAGTTCTCACTGCAACAATAAGAGGCATAGGATTTGAACTGAAACCTCACTAAAAGATGCTTGAAGGTAAAAGATTTAAATTTAAACTGATTTAAGAAATTAGCATGTGTTGCTATTCCTGGTGAAGTGTTAAGTTGTTGACTTTTAAAAGTTGTTATAAAGATATTTAACTTCTCTGGCAACTAATTAGTTTAAATGTCACATAAGGATTTAACCAGTTTTATACTGAGCTTCAGTAGTTTTTTTTGTTGTTTTATATCTTTGGGTATATTAGGCTTATCAACTTATTTTTAAACTTTTTGGCAGTGCAGTTTCAACTGGGTAACAGAAAGGTGCTGAGTTACGCAACAATTCTAAAAGAACGTGTGTAAACAATCCCAGCTTGTGTATCTTTAGGTGGGTCTGAAATATCTCTAATAAGCTTAAGAGAGTTTGGTCCAGCATAGAGAAAGCTCCCACAGACTTTTAGATAATAATGGGTACACCACTGAGTGATAGTGGCTTACATTTTCAAGCCAGGCTAGGGATGAGGAGGCTGCTCACCCAGTGTATTGGAAAATAAATTGTAACTGGTTTTTGAAGTAATATCCAGTATTGACAGTTTAAATTTAATGTGCAAAAGCTCTTAAAGCTACAGTGTGTAATAATTACAGGGATATACAGTCAGAAATGTAATATATTATACATAACTATGTTATTTATCATCATCTACGAGCTCAGCCTCTTAACCTTAATATTTGCGTTGCCTTAGAATTCGTTATTTATAATTACGTAGGAGCGGGTCTCGCAGCCATGGAGGCAGACATCTTTGCGCTACGGCAGCGCAGAGCCAACAAACTAGCGATTGCGAGATCGCCAAAACGTCACAACGATGTAGAAAAAATAACGGGTATATTTATTATCTTAAGTCTACATGAAATCTATACCCTACACAGACTAATGAAATACTATCTGTAAAATTATCTATGTAAACAAACCTTATCACTTGAGAAGGTAGGTGATGCGGAAGACATTTTGTCCCGTAATGCTCGCCGTACTGTCGGGGGGGAGAAGCGGTGGGGGGGAGATGTTCATGTTGCTGCAGTCTGCAGTCTGACCGCTAGATGTCGCTAAAAGTTACACACTGTAGCTTTAAATAAATACAGAGTGAAAGGATTACAATTAAAGGAATTTACCAAAAAGTATTACATTTAATGTAGTTTAAAGGGTTTATTATTTATTAGCTCCTTAAATCAGGGATTCTGTGCCTTTGGTCATCATCCAGATTTCATGACCATAAGTCAGGGTAGAAACATGGATTGATGAGTAAATTGAGAGCTTTTCCTTTTTGCTCAGCCCTATCTTCACATAAGCCGGTGCAACGCCCACATTATAGCAGCAGCCGCACAGATTCTTCAATCAATATTCTGCTCCATTCTCCCCTCACTTGTGAACAGGACCCAAATATATTTAAACTTCTCCAATGTGAAGGGGACAGGGCACCTTTTTCCGGTCGAGAACCATGGCCTCAGACTTGGAGGAGCTGATTCTCATCCTGGTCGCTTCATATTCTTCTACAAACTGCCCCATTGCATGCTGTATGCGTTGGCACGAGGGAGCCACGTCATCTTTAAAAGAGGGGATGAGATTCACTTGTCCCTGCAGTAGACTCCCTCCAGCCTTTTGCTGCACCTAAAAATCCTGTGTGTATATGCACTCTCCTGCACCCTAGCTTAAGCCTTCCGGGGGAGGCTAAGAATTGTGATCGCCCAATAGTTGGAACACACCCTGTGGTCACTCCTATGAAGGGCAACCAACGCACCCATCTGCCAATCCAGGGGCACAGTCTCTGACCTCCACGCAAACTTAAACAAGCATGTCAGCCACAACATCAAGAGCTCCGAGGTATTCAGGGCGGATCTTATTCATCCTTTAAGTCTTGCCACCGTGGAGTTTTTTTTACCACCTTGGTGACTTCAGCCGGGCAGATTAATTAATCGGACCCCAAACACCCCGTCTCTTCCTTCACCACAGAGGATCTGTCTGCTGGATTGAGGAGATCCATGAAGAATTCCTTCCACCATCCAACATGTCCTCTTTCAAAGTCAGCAGCTCCCCACTCCCACTGAAAACAGTTTTGGCAAATCATTGCTTTCCCCTTCGAACGCACCAGGGGATTTACCAGAATCCCTTTGAGGCCAACCGCTATCTAAATAGTACACCACTTGATACCTGCTTGCTCCCCCAGAAGTCCTTTAACCCAGCCAAGCTTGATAAGACTCCTTCTTTAGCTTAACAGTGTCCCTTACAGCCGGTGTCCACCACTGGGTTAGGGAAATCCGGCAATGGCTGCCACAGCTATGGGCAGCAACATCAACAATTGTGGAAGATAACATGGCCCACTCAGACTCCTTGTCTCCAGTCTCCCCTGCATCTGGGAGGTGCTCCTACGGAGAGGGAATTGAACAAGTCCCTAACCAAGGGTTCTACTGGATGTTCCAAGGAGAACCTCACAACTCGCTTGGGCATGCCAAGTCTGTCCATCATCTTCCTCTTCCAGCTTATCCAGCTCACCACCAGGTGGTGATTGGTGGACAGCTCCACCCCTTTCTCCACCTGAGTTTCCAAGACATGCGGCCAAAGGTCAGACGATACTACTATAAAATTGATCATCAATCTCCGGGCTAGTGTCCTGGTCCCTTAGCACCCCTGGATTATAAGATGGCCTGATAGTCAGTACTGCCTTTCGGCCAATATGCCGAAAGTGACCTTGCCCCTACTCGAAGGCGAGGGGACGTGAGCCTCTCATCCACCAGGGTAAAATCCAACACCAGATGGCTGAGCTGGGGGGAGACCAGTAGACCCACCCCCAAGGGCCAGTCCTATCTGTGGAGGTGAGCCCAACTATTTCTACCCAGTGTATCTCAACCTACCGCACAAGTTCATGCTCCTTTCCCACCAGTAATAAGACATACTATGTCTCAGTTTCAATGTCCACTGATCGAGTAGCCTTCGCCTTTTGACTGCTGCGCAATTCTCTCTGCACCAGTCGTCCATGATTCCCCCTGCAGGTGCTGGGCCCAGCTGGGTCTTTCGAGGAACAACCCCACCACCAGGCTGTGATATGTTATACTGGGAGACATAAAAATGCTTAATTTTTTAATGGCCCCAGCATCATTGGGTGCTTTTTGAACCATTCTGTCATCGCCGGGAGCCTTTTTTGCCTTGGGAGACCAATTTTTCCATTTTAAACTTCAGATAGTAAAAACCCTATTCCTTTTAACTATTTTTTTTTTCCATTCTTTTTTATTTTTGATTTGTAAAGGACCCTGAAAAGAAGGCTGTATAAATGTTTTAAATTAAGTCTTGTTTTCAGAATATTTCTGGAAATTCAACGACAGGCTTTGTTGCACAGATGAGTTCAATCTTTTTCTACAATGTTTTTCTTTTCGAAAAAACATATTTGTTCTCTTTTATGCTTTGATTTCCTTCATTGCTTTTAGCGTGTCATTTTTTATTGAACCAGTGTTGTAGGTTAGGCATTTGTTTAATGTAGAAAAGTAGTGCCCTAGTCTAGCTCTTTGCTGCAGCTTAGTCTAGATCTCCCCTAGTTAATGTCTGTTACACATTACCTTTCAGGACAATGTTCTAATCCTAACCATCCCCCATGTAGCGCTTGTCATGAGAGACATAACCTGGAATGGAACCAGTCTAATGAATCAGCTTTTCTTACCAATCACCGGTCTTCTGTAGCAGAGTAATTTTGAAGAGAATACCCTGTGCAAAGTTCATAGGAAAAGAAAAGTTAGATTCAAGCTTTTCTAGGCTAATTACCAACCCATCTGTTTAAAAAGTCTTTCTATCCATTTGCAAATGTATTTTAAATTAAAATAATCAAGAATAACAGAAACAAAACAAATTGTCAGATTATTTATAATCCTAATGCAAAAAAAGCAGTTTTGACAGTCAATGTGTTAAAAATATCTTTATTGTGGTAGATCACGTTTGAGTAGGAGGTATCGTTTTGCCCTGCTGGGCCAGCCCTGTGGGCAGCAGATGAGCCAGAGAAACTTGTGTGTGGGTGTGTGTGTGTGCTGCTTAACGGCAAGCAGAAGAGCCCTGCCAGACAGCCTGCTCCAACTGGCCACATAATCCAGTCCAACAGCTCGTCTCTCCTGTTTGCTTTAGGTGATGCCTTGGATTTAGCCAGTCCACACGGGTGCTATGAATAAGACACTGGATAAAATTCTCACTTCTGGAGGACTTGGACAGAGAGCAGAGATTTTTCAGAGTGACAAGGGTAATGTAAGTGTCTTCTCCAGCCCAGCAATCATATCTCTGGAAGATCCTTTACTCACAATAAATGCTCAGAGGAGCAAGACCAAGTTTTGCAAGGGGAACAGGTATGGCTCACTTTTACTTGCATAAACTGCAACTAGCATAAGTTTTCGTACAAAATGCATTATTATAAATACACCAAGCCGAAGTGTTTATGCAACACTTTTTATGACGCTTTCAGACCTGCATTCAAATAGCACAGTGTTTGCATTTAAAGGAGCCAGTAAAAGAGCCACATTGTTGTAGCAATATACTGAACACCAGTTGATTGAGTTTCAAGTTTGTAGATTAAAAGTAACCCGTCCTTCCGGTCATTGGCAAACTTGTTTCCAAAGGTAATATTGAGCTTATTTGTGAGTATTTAGTAAAAAAAAAAAAACCAAAACTGTCCTTTCTTTCTGTAACATACAAATCAACAGTCAGTACTTCCAAAAGTTAAAGCACTGTATGCTTCTATAAAGGTGTTGTCAGGGGCTGTTCATCGCGTTGTTATCTAAGGTTTGTTGGGGATTGACTGTGTCAACAGGTAGTTAGGTGCAGGAGGGGTAAATGCAAAGAGAACCAGGTTTGTCACCTCCTACATTCCTATTATCTCCAAAAACAGGAGCAGATTCAGAATTCCACTTTGTGGACTAAATTGAATGCAAAAACAGGAATAAATTCACTAAGTTTATCTGGTAACATCAGTTTCTCCATAACATTACTGAAAACCCAATCATAACATTTAATGGCATTTATATTTTTTTTTTTACTGCAAAAATGTGTATATACATTTTTTTGACTTTCAGCTACTAAGTTTTTAAAGACGAGTTTCAAGAAGTTGATATGTGCTTTAAAAAGAATGGAAAAGCCACTTTTATTGTTGGCTTTAAAATCTACGTATTTACCTTTTGAAACCTGTGCACCATTCAACCCAGGCCTATATAATGTATAATGATGGCCCAGTGTTATTTTCTGCTCTTACTTAGGATGTTTCATCCTCACTTGTATCACTTTTTTCTCCGATGATTATCCTTTAGGAATGTTAAAGAGGAAGAGGAGTCTTCAACTTTCCATATTCCAAACCCCTTTCCTGAAGTTCTGCCTCCTACTCTCACCCAGTCAGTCTCTGAGTGTTTAGTACCTTACATGAAAAGTAGTGCGACTCTGGTAAGTGTGTCATTTGCTTGATTAAACATTTTATAGAGAGACTTGTGTTGCTATGCAGCAAGGTTGTTTTCTTTCAATCTTAACCTGGAGGACATTCTGATAAGAAGCATGACAGCGTTGTTTGACTTGTGATTTTGTTTGACTTCAGGACACATGGATGGTTCAACTGGTTTTGCAAGTATGGAAATGAAGGGTAGAGAGAGATAAATGCTGTGTCAGGATGGTTAGACACTCTATATGGACTGTTTACATTGAGAGAGGGAACCTTTTTTTCCTACAAACAATATGAAAACCAACCAACTTGGCGAGATGCTATACAGTACCAACCCTACCCTGCAACTTTTAGGTGCATTGCTACTCCGACTTGGCTGAATCAAATGATTGATTCGATTCAGGCATTTGCATTCAAGTTTGGCAAATGCCTTGTAATGAACCACACATTTCATTCAGGTTTTTTGTAGAGGCTTTGTAAAAATGTGATTTACAGCATGGCAGCCTTTTGAATTTATTTGATTTATGATTTGCTTTGAGGGATGGGCAAAGTAAGCTTGGGGTTCACCCTTTTTCTTCTCAAACATTTATCCAGCATGTTTTTTTTTTTTGTTCTGTTAAAAAAATGGATGCTCCTTTAAAAACCTCAACACCTGGAGTTGGAGACCCCTGCTTGACAAGCTTTAATAGCTACAATAGTAGCCATTAAATGGCCCTTCCCAGTCAAAAGTCAGCCGAATGGCAGCCCACTTTCCTACACCTCCCAGTAAAATCCCCCCAACTTCCAGCCATGGGTCTTCTCCTGGGCCTGCATATTTTTTAACTCTTGTCTCCACCCTTTCACTGAATTAAAGGGTCTGACCAGGGGATACTGCTTTACTTCAGATCTTAATGTCCACAAATCATGACAGAAAAAATATTTTAGTATGAAAATTTATGTTTAAAAAGGAATTGTAGGGAACCAGCCAAGGGCCCATCAAGGAAAGTGGGGGAATTTTGAATGGCTACTACTGTATGCAAGTCCATGAATTTTTATGTATATTAAAGTGCCACGAGATACATATCAGCAGTGAACATAGTCCCTAAAATTGGTTAAATGCTACTAAGCCCTTTTTATTTGTTATTGCTTCAAAGCTTCTCCTGTTTGGAGTAACAGGTTTGAAGTATTTCTGTAGTGTAGGTTTCTTCCACACTACCTGTCTTATTTAAATCTCGAAAGTTTGGTGGGGTAGCAGCTAATGTTTTGGAAGTTTTAAAGACTATCAGCAGGATTTTCCTACAACAGTGGAGAATTATGTGTGGTGTATGCAAATTATTCCTCTTTGGTGCAATGCATTCCTTATTATTTTATATCTGGAATTTTTTCATGCTCTATAGGTGTGGGTTCTGGCCACTTAGAAGGCTCTCCTGGTTAATCTGATGAGTCTTCTGTTAGAAATGCTCCAATCCACAAACTGATTATGGCTGGATTAGAGTAAAAAGCTTTTTGCAATATCTGGTTGATGTGCCACCTTCGTATAGACAATAGGTTGGATCCAAACTACAAAGTATCCATCTGTGCTGAAAGGGAGAATTCAAGATTTTTTGTATAAATATTGACATATGTCAGTGATCTTTCTTTCTTTGCTTTTAGTAAATATTTAAATTATATTTGCTTTGTGTGCTATTTGTTAGTTATATCATAGTTTTACTTTATCATGTACCCTAATTTATTAAGCCATGCATTCTAAGTTCTTTGAACAGCTTTGTAAAGCTTTTTGTCCCACTTGTTGCGCCATACAAGGCATGTACTTAATACCTTGTGTTCCCATCTTCTATTTCTGTAGTTTCAGCATTTATATATGCAAACCTTGTGCAGTCTAGAAGGATAGGCTACAAGTGGCTTATAGTTCTGATCCTGTGTCTCAGTACTATTACACCTTTCTATTGCAATGGTTTATTGGTGGATCAAGTACTTGATTTTAGGGATCTTTTTATTAACTGGACCCACGTTTAGCCATTTAGCCTTTACTATAATGGACATCTTTTTACTTTTTTTGATTTAATTACAGCAAAATTCTTAGTGTGTCATTGTTTGACCAAAAATACTCCCATTGATAACATTACAGATAACTATTCTGAGGGCTGAACTGCCTTGTGTCTTTAGAGCCGATTGTAGAAAAGTGTCATATGACAAACAGCAAGGGAGGCAGCTTCCTTTGAACAAATTTGATATTTAAGAGCTGGTCTTAAAGATTATAAAAGTACGGTCATTCCACTTAAAATATTGAGCACATTTTGATGCGCTGCAGAGGTGTTGCATCTTGACCTAATGACTTTGGTAATTAAACAAAATTCAACAACTTGGACAGATATAGATAAATTATAATTAAAAAAATAGAATGAATAATTGGAGAAAATTAAGTATTTTGGTATTCTAAATATTTATGAGTCTGTTTCTACTGTGTATTGGCTTTGAACTCCAGTTCTATCTCCTATATATTTTTCTGCACAACAACTGGTTTGGTTTTACCAACCAGAATAAATCCTGGATGTGTGTCCTGATACTGTATGACACACTGTATATTTTTTTGTGGTGTCTATGTGTATTGTGGATTTTGTAGGTAAGGAAACTATATCAAGCATTTTCAAAAGGTGAAAAAACCCAAAGTGTTATACCTCTTGGAACCGATTTAGTGTTTTTTGACCTGCGACAGCATAAAAATACACAAAAATGAAAATATTTTTTAAAAACATGCATGCAACATCACACAGTTAAAAAACAATTTAAAAGCCATTCTGAAAAGAAAAAAAAAATTCAACCGTTTCTTAAAACAATGCAAAGATGGCCGGTTAGAACTCCACAGTCTGGGGCCCACTGATTTAAAGGATTTATCCTTACATCTCTTCATGGAATTATTATAAGACTTTGACCAGAGAATTTTAAAACTATGAGAAGGGGTGTATGGCTCTAAAAGGTCAAAGAAATATGCAGGATTTTGGTCTAATAATTTCTCTTGCAAGTATTTGTTACAAAGTACCTCTTAGAAGTCACTAAAACAATTTGTCAAGCAGAGCACTTTTCCATTTTTACTTGGCTTAAAATACCAGTAGGATTGAATGTAATCAACATAGATATGATCAGAAACATTAGAAAACTGTAAAATTAATTGATGTAGGGGAAAAACATAGTTAAAAATCCCTACATGTCACGCTATTGAAGCCTGACATGATCTGGTTTGCAAAAATCTTGCAAAAATTTGATCTTCAACAGGTTTGCATCTATTAACACAGGTGCAAAGCTGCTTGCCGATACCTAGAGGATCTTAACATACTGTAAGGTGCAAAGTAATTCAATTTAATATTTTTTAATGTTTACCTTAGTCAAAAGGCAAAGCATATTCTACTGTCCAAAACATGCAAATTTATAAGTGGAGGGTGAGCAAATAAACACCCACAAAGTGATTGAAAAAACTTGAAACTGATTGTAGGATTATTTTTTCAATTTTATTTAATCTAGTATGTTTGAAAATCAGCTACAAATACATGCAAAACTTTCTGACAGACCATGGAGAGAGAGTTTGTATGCATGTAACAATATTAGGACTGTCAGAATTACCGATAGTGGAATAATATCTGAAAAAAAAAAAAAAGATGGGTTTTACCCAAAAAGAAGAACACTGTGATTAAACTAAAATATTATAGCATTTTTAGTAAAAAGAAAAACATTTTATTTTATTTTTTTAGATTTTTAGGGGTTTGTATTGGGTTTCTGTGGGATATGGTGAAACGTTTTTACAGATCCAGTAAATCCAGCTGTTTAGGGCATATTCTTTCTATAATTCCGACAGTCAGTGGCTCCTTCCTTGAAGGGAAGTGGGGGACGGAGGGTGACAAAGGGGTGTCAATGAAAGGACAAAAGACATGTTTTATTTTTTATATCTTGGTATTTTATATTTAACTTTTTATTTTTATCTAACTTTTGTTTGTAGCTCCTTGTGATACATATGAACACAGTATTTAGTATTCAGTGTTTATTTTCCTTAAAATAATTATCATTATTAATTCTGACTGTTGACTCAGAACTTCATCTTTCTTTTAAAGCCGCTCTCAAACTGACAGTAGCACATGTACAGTAATCTCCTCTTATTAATTGGGAGGAACTGAACTTGTTTGCATACCTTAATATTTTTGTGAGCAAAATTTAGAGATTATCTGAAACATGCCCACTTATTGAACGCAAAAATGTATTTATTCTTGGTCAGTACAATTAAGAGCTTCATATTTGGAATCTTTGAAGATCAGGTCCCGTGTTCAGCCAGAAAGATAGGAGTTACACCATTGATAGCCACCCTTGAGAGACCTATTGCATCTCTCAGCATGTTAGCAAGAATACCGTGATCTACAGTGTCAAAAGCAGATCTAAAGTCCAGGAGAACCATTAACATGGGTGAAAATTGTTACTAAGAAATTTGAATAAGACTTACATCTGAACTGACTGTTTATGGAAAGCTTTCCAGGTTTATGTCTATTTGTCTATGTGTATTTGTTTCTCCTTAAAGTTTCCAAATGAATTGGAAATGAATCTGTCCAATAAGTGCTTAGTACCAGTAAACTTAAGTTGACAAGTTAACCCCTTAATTTAAAATAATATTCTGAAATGTTTAGTAAAATGTTTATTTGAGTATTATTAGTTTTTCATGTATTTATACCTTTTTAAATTGATTTTACTTGAATATAAGTTCAGAATTTATATCCATTTAAGCCCATCAGGAAATTATGTAAACACATGCTCTCAACTGTGTATGATTTACAATGAGCATGTATTTAAAAGGGTATTTGTTCCTCTAAAACAGGAGTGTCAGACTAATTTCTATATCAGGCCACTTTGGCATCATCATGTCTTTAAAAGGGCTGTTTACAGCTCTATAAAATAAACATTTGTTTTCATTATTGTATTTACATAGAGCAGAGTGCTCCTGTGTTCTAATTTCACTCCCAATTTTAGCCACTTCATACACTTTAGAATA